GTGAGTATATGTGTGTATATACGTATGTGTGTTTGTGTATGTGTGTGAGTAAATGTATGTATATACGTGTATGTGTTTGTGTGTATGTGTGTGTATGTATATATGTGTTTGAGTATATATATATATACTCACACACATATGCAAATATATATTTGTGTGTGTGTTTATATGTGTGTGTGTGTATACACACACACACACACATACTTACTTGTAAAATGAAAATATGACTTCTAATAACCCGGGCAACGCCTGGTACCCAAGCTTGTGTGTGTGTTGGTCAATGCGCCCGTTTCCTTCCTCCGAAATAGCGTTCTGGATTCACTGGCGGTCTCCCATCCAAGGAGCCACCAAGGCTGGCCAGCAGGGATCTGGTGGGATTGAGTGCCTTTAGACTATCAGTGCCATCTTGCATGTATGTGTATGTGTTTGTGTTTATATGTATATATGCGCGTGCACACATGCATACATACACATACATGCAAGATGGCACTGATAGTCTAAAGGCACTCCGTCCCACCAGATCCCTGCTGGCCAGCCTTGGTGGCTCCTTGGATGGGAGACCGCCAGTGAATCCAGAACGATATTTCGGAGCGAGGAAACGGGCGCATTGACCAAGGATTCCTGGCCTAAGACAACCCCGTACACACTTGGATGGAGAGGCGCCTCCTCGCCGCCTTGGGAGTCCAGAATCTCGTTTCACCAGATACCAAGCGCACTTCGATCGAGGAAAAAAGAGATCTCGCTTGGGTTGCCCTGTTTGTTTAAGCGGCTATCTGATCCCTGGCAAGAAAGGGCCAGCCAGGGAAGAAAAGGGTCATTTTACACTAGGAACGAAAGAGAAACACAACCGTATTTACTTCTCTACATTGTATTCCACCCCAAAGGGAAGGTCTGCAGTGGCATCTGAAATCGAAACACATTCTGGGAGTTCTGGCCCCCAAAGAGCCACTTCCTTTAACTTTGGAAAATAATTGATAATTGCATGTTTTGCTGGAAGAGCAATTATGGCGCTGAATACAGATCATAATTCTGGCAGATGGACTTGGCATGAATCATGCCCAAAACTATAGAGCAAAGGCCACGGATGGAATTACACACAGAGGCAAGTCACACTCTCTCGGCCTCAGGAGACGTCAATGGTATTGATCTTCTGGATCAATATTGGGGGGAAAACCCTGCTTAGGGTTTGCTTTAGGGCCAGAAATGATTTGAAGGCCCAAAACAACAAATAGTGTAGGAAAAAAATAATAATATTTTTTTGCAGAGAGAAAGAGCAGGATGTAAATAAACATATAATAATAATAATAATAATAATAATAATAATAATAATAATAGATCTTGTTTGCTTTTTGTTCATTCGTTCAGTCGTCTCCGACTCTTCGTGACCTCATGGACCAGCCCACGCCAGAGCTCCCTGTCGGCCGTTACCACCCCCAGCTCCCTCAAGGTCAGTCCAGGCACTTCAAGGATGCCATCCATCCATCTTGCCCTTGGTCGGCCCCTCTTCCTTTTGCCTTCCACTTTCCCCAGCATCATTGTCTTCTCTAGGCTTTCCTGTCTCCTCATGATGTGGCCAAAGTACTTCAACTTTGTCTCTAGTATCCTTCCCTCCAGTGAGCTTTAGTCGGGCTTTCTTTCCTGGAGGATGGACTGGTTGGATCTTCTCGCAGTCCAAGGCACTCTCAGCACTTTCCTCCAACACCACAGCTCAAAAGCATCGATCTTCCTTCGCTCAGCCTTCCCGAAGGTCCAGCTCTCACATCCGTAGGTGACTACAGGGAAGACCATGGCTTTGACTAGGCAATGGATCTTGGTTGCCAGTCTGATGTCTCTACTCTTTACTATTTTATCGAGACTGGACATTGCTCTCCTCCCAAGAAGGAAGCGTCTTCTGATTTCCTGGCCACAGTCTGCATCTGCAGTCATCTTTGCGCCTAGAAATACAAAGTCTGTCACGGCCTCCACGTTTTCTCCCTCTATTTTCCAGTTGTCAATCATTCTTGTTGCCATAATCTTGGTTTTTTTGACGTTTAGCTGCAACCCGGCTTTTGCGCTTTCTTCTTTCACCTGGATTAGAAGGCTCCTCAGCTCCTCCTCGCTTTCGGCCATCAGAGTGGTGTCATCTGCATATCTGAGGTTGTTAATGTTTCTTCCAGCAATTTTCTTTAGACTAATAATAATAATAATAATAATAATAATAATAATAATAATAATAATACAATAGTTAGAATGCATTGTATATCTTGGAGCACAATGGAGGTTTTCAAGCAGAGGCTGGATGGCCATCTGTCGGGAGGGCTTTGGTTGTGTCTCTCCTTGCATGGCAGAATGGGGTTGGACTGGGTGGCCTTTGGCGTCTCTTCCAACTCTAAGAGTCCGTGATTCAGAGACTGGATGGCCATCTGTCAGGAGGGCTTTAGTTGTTTCTCTTTGTGTGGCAAAATGGGGTTGGACTGGATGGCCTTTGGGGTCCCTTCCAACTCCTAAGAGTCCGTGATTCAGAGGCAGGATGGCCATCTCTCAGGAGGGCTTTGGTTGTGTTTCTCCTTGCTTGGCAGAATGGGGTTGGACTGGATGGCCTTTGGGGGTCTCTTCCAGGTCTAAGAGTCTATGATTTAGAGGCAGGATGGCCATCTATCAGGATGACTTTGGTTGTGTCTCCTTGGAGGGCACAAGGGGTTTGGACTAGATGGCCTTTGGGGGTCTCTTCCAAGTCTAAAAGTGTATGATTCAGAGACAGGGTGGCCATCTGTTGGGAGGGCTTTGGTTGTGTCTCCTTGCAGTTCAGAAAGAGGGTTGGACTGGATGGCCTTTGGGGTCTCTTCCAACTCAGAATATATTGTGAGTCCCCTTCGCTGGAAGTTTTTAAGCAGAGGCTGGATGGTCATCTGTCAGGAGGGCTTTGATTGTGTGTCTCCTTGCTTGGCAGAATGGGGTTGGACTGGATGGCCTTGGGGTCCCTTCCAGGTCTAGGATTCTTGTCTATGAGCAGGATGGCCATCTATCAGGGAGGATTTGGTTGTGTCTCCTTGCATGGCAGAATGGGGTTGGACTGGATGGCCTTTGGGGATTTCTTCCAAGTCTAAAAGTCTATGATTCGGAGGCAGGATGGCCATCTCTCAGGAGGTCTTTGATAGTGTTTCTCCTTGCATGGCAGAATGGGATTGGACTGGATGGCCTTTGGGGTCCCTTCCAAGTCTAAGAGTCTATGATTCAGAGTCAGGATGGCCATCTGTCAGGAGGGCTTTGGTTGTGTCTCTCCTTGCAGGGCAGAATGAGGTTGGACTGGATGGCACTTGGGGTCTCTTCCAGCTCCTAAGACTCTATGATTCAGAAGTAGGATGGCCAGGAGGGCTTTGGGGGTCTCTTCCAAGTCTATGATTCAGAGGCAGGATGACCATCTCTTGGGAGGTCTTTGATTGTGTCTCTCCATGCATGGCAGAATAGGGTTGGACTGATGGCCTTTGGGGGTCTCTTCCAAGTCTAAAAGTGTATGATTCAGAGTCAGCCATCTGGCCATCTGTCAGGAGGGCTTTGATTGTGTCTCTCCTTGCATGGCAGAATGGGGTTGGACTGGATGGCCTTTGCAGTCCCCTTCCAACTCTTAAGATTCAGAATATATTGGGAGTCCCCTTCTCTGGAAGTTTTTAAGCAGAGGCTGGATGTCCATCTGTCAGGAGGGCTTTGATTGTGCCTCTCCTTGTACGGCAGAATGGGGTTGGACTGGATGGCCCTTGGGGTCTCTTCCAACTCCTAGGAGTCCATGATTCAGAGGCAGGATGGCCATCTGTTGGGAGGGCTTTGATTGTGTCTCTCCTTGCAGGTCAGAAACGGGGTTGGACTGGATGGCCTTTGTGGCCCCTTCTAACTCTTAACATTCAATGTATTGGAGTCTTGTTCTCTGGAGGTTTTAAACAGAGGCTGGAAGGGCATCTGTTGGGAGGGCTTTGGTTGTGTCCCCTTGGAGGGCAGAATGAGGTTGGACTGGATGGCACTTGGGGTCTCTTCCAGCTCCTAAGACTCTATGATTCAGAAGTAGGATGGCCAGGAGGGCTTTGGGGGTCTCTTCCAAGTCTATGATTCAGAGGCAGGATGGCCATCTCTTGGGAGGTCTTTGATTGTGTCTCTCCATGCATGGCAGAATAGGGTTGGACTGATGGCCTTTGGGGGTCTCTTCCAAGTCTAAAAGTGTATGATTCAGAGTCAGCCATCTGGCCATCTGTCAGGAGGGCTTTGATTGTGTCTCTCCTTGCATGGCAGAATGGGGTTGGACTGGATGGCCTTTGCAGTCCCCTTCCAACTCTTAAGATTCAGAATATATTGGGAGTCCCCTTCTCTGGAAGTTTTTAAGCAGAGGCTGGATGTCCATCTGTCAGGAGGGCTTTGATTGTGCCTCTCCTTGTACGGCAGAATGGGGTTGGACTGGATGGCCCTTGGGGTCTCTTCCAACTCCTAGGAGTCCATGATTCAGAGGCAGGATGGCCATCTGTTGGGAGGGCTTTGATTGTGTCTCTCCTTGCAGGTCAGAAACGGGGTTGGACTGGATGGCCTTTGTGGCCCCTTCTAACTCTTAACATTCAATGTATTGGAGTCTTGTTCTCTGGAGGTTTTAAACAGAGGCTGGAAGGGCATCTGTTGGGAGGGCTTTGGTTGTGTCCCCTTGGAGGGCAGAATGAGGTTGGACTGAATGGCCTTTGGGGTCTCTTCCAACTCTTAAGATTCAGAATATATTGTGAGTCCCCTTTGCTGGAATTTTTTAAGCAGAGGCTGGATGGGCATCTGTCAGGAGGGCTTTGGTTGTGTCTCCTTGCAGGGCAGAATGGGGTTGGACTGGATGGCCTTTGGAGATCCCAATACTATGAAATATGTTCCTTTTTTTTCTTCCCAGCCAGTTGGGACAAGTTCAACACTGTTGCCTGCGATTTCCTCCTCCCTTTCCTCTCCCTTCTTGTCTCTTGACAGCTCTGCCTGCCTGCCTGCCCCTTGCGTACTTTTGGAGTGCAGAAGAATGAGTCTGCCTTGTTTGAGTTCTCCTTCTTCTTCTCCTTCCCCCTTGTGTGGTTTTGGGGGTGGCCTTGTGGCCCTGGGCGGGACACGGAGCCCACGTCACGCCGTGACTCAATTTTGGCCCGCCGGAGCCTGGAGCCTGCCTTATAAAAGAGCTGGAAGCGCACGGCTTGGGCAGAAGGCAAGGAAGAGGAAGCATCTGCAGGCCCACCTCTCCAGAAGACGAAGTTCTCAAGATGTTCCTGGCTCTCCTCCTGACGTCCTGCCTGGTCCTGACCAAGTCGGCCACTTTGGCCCCCAGAGGTAAGCCCGCCGGGACACTTCCTCCTCTGCCTTCCCACTTCCTTCCTCCCAAAGAGAATCCTAGAATCCTAGAGATGGAAGAGGAACCAAAGGCTGGATGGCCATCTGTCGGGAGGGTTTGGATCCCATCCCAAATAGAAACATAGACTCCTAGAGTCAGAAGACATCCCAAGGGCCATCCAGTCCTTGTTCTGCCAAAGGACTAGATGGCCATCTATCGGGTTTGGATATTATCCAAACCCTCCTGACAGATGGCCATCCAGCCCTTATTTAAAAGCCTCCAAACAGGGAGACTCCACCACCACTTTCCAAACCCTCCTGACAGATGGCCATCCAGCCCTTGTTTAAAAGCCTCCACTGCCACTTTCTAAACCCTCCTGATAGATGGCCATCCAGCCTATTTAAAATCCTCCAAACAGGGAGATTCCACTGCCAGACTTTCCAAACCCTCCCAACAGATGGCCATCCAGCCTTTGCTTAAAAGCCTCCAAAGAGGGAGACCCCCCCCCCCATCATCAGCCATTCCAACTTGAATGTTTTCATCTTTGAAGTCCATAGAGCTGGCAGAAACCAGTCCAACCCCTTTCATCATTCCAGGAAGGCACCATCCAAGCCCTCCCGACAGATGGCCATCCAACCTTTGGTACAGCTTATAGTACAAAACCTTACATCATTATATCAATCTGATCATAGAATCATAGAAGGCAACCCTAAAAAGTCACCCAGTCCAGTACCATTCTCTAAAGCAGGAAGACACCAATAAAACCCTCCTGACAGATGCCCATCCAAACTTTGGTACAGCTCATGATACAAAACCTTAGTAGTTATATCAATCTGATTGTAGAATCATTGAGTCAGAAGGGAACCCTAAAAGGCCACCCAACTCCATTCTCTCAGGCAGAAAAACACCATTAAAGCCCTCCCAACAGATGCCCATCCAAACTTTGGTACGGCTCATAATACAAAACCTTAGTAGTTATATCAATCTGATTGTAGAATCATTGAGTCGGAAGTAAGAATAATAGAAGGCAATCCTAAAAAGTCACCCAGTCCAGTCCCATTCTCCCAGGCAGGAAGACACCATTAAAGCCCTCCCGACAGATGGCCATCCAGCCTTTGGTTCGGCTCATTGTACAAAACTTTAATCATTATATCAATCTGATTGTAGAATCATAGAAGAGAACCCTAAAAGGCCATCCAGTCCAACCCCATTCTCTCAGGCAGGGAGACACCATCAAAGCCCCATAGACAGATGGCATTCTCTCCTGACGTTTCGCCTACACCTATGGCAAGCATCCTCAGAGGTTGTCAGGTCTGTTGGCCAAGCCTCCACGCCCAATCATTCCCACTATGAAGGTTTCTAGAATCCTAGAGTGCATCCAATACAGGAAGGCACCCATCAAAGCATTCCCGACAGATGCCCATCCAGCCCTTTTGAACATTCCATTCTCCAAACTAAACAATTCGCTCCTCTATTTGTAATTAAGCCCCATCTATTGAAATGTTTCATCCGATCAGACGTTTGCAAACCCACGCCTTGCATCGTAATGTGTCCAAAATCAAAATATCGTTGCATAAAAGAGGGTTTTTGTCTTAGTTTCCCCTTTTAATGGGGCGGGGGGGGGGGAGAGAGCCCGCTCTTCCGGGTTGTGATTGGCAGCGGTCTTGTGACTCCCGGTCTGTGTTTGTTTTGCTCTTGCTTGCAGGCCAGCCAGGGATTTGTTGCATGTGTTTCCCTTTAAATTCGACTCCTGCGGTTGCGCAATTGTGCAACATTTCCAAAATAATAATAATAATAATAATAATAATAATAATAGATAGATAGATAGATAGATAGATAGATAGATAGATAGATATTGTAAGCCACTCTGAGTCCCCTTCGGGTGAGAAGGGCAGCATATAAATGCAGTAAATAAATAAAATTATTATTATTATTATTATTAATAATAATAATAAAAAGGTCCCTTTTTCTGCAGCAAACAAACTGCATGTTGACATCTCACTGGGTAGGCTGCGTTTTTCATGGCCAGAGTCACTGGGTTGATGTGAATTTTCCGGGCTGTCTGGCCATGTTCCAGAAGCATTCTCTCCTGACGTTTCGCCCACATCTATGGCAGGCATCCTCAGAGGTTGCAAGGTTTCCAGGTCTGAAAATTCACAGCAACCCATTATTATTATTATTATTATTATTATTATTATTATTGGGTTGCTGTGAGTTTTCTGGTCTGTCTGGCCATGTTCCAGAAGCATTCCCTCCTGACGTTTCGCCCACATCTATGGCAGGCATCCTCAGAGGTTGTGAGGTTTCCAGGTCTGAAAATTCACAGCAACCCATTATTATTATTATTATTATTATTATTATTATTATTATTATTGGGTTGCTGTGAGTTTTCGGGTCTGTGGCAGGCATCCTCAGAGGTTGTGAGGTCTGTTGGAAACTAAGCAAGTGAGGTTTATATGTCTGGGTCTGTTGGAAATTAGGAAAATGGGGTTTATATATATCTGTGGAATGATGTCTAGAGTGGGAGAAAGAACTTTTGTCTGCTTGAGGCACGTGTGAAGGTTGCAACTGGCCACCTTGATTAGCATTGAATGGCCTTGCAGCTTCAAAGCCTGGCTGCTTCCTGTAGATTTGAATCTGGGGAGCAGGGTGACTTCCCACTGTAAGGCCAACCTAGCAGTTTGAAAACATGCAAGTGTGAGTAGATCAATAGGTGGGAAGGTAACGGCGTTCCAAGCAGTCATGCTGGCCACATGACCTTGGAGGTGTCTATGGACAACACCGGCTCTTTGGCTTAGAAATGGAGATGAGCACCCCCGAGTTGGACACGACTGGACTTGATATCAGGGGAAAACCTTTACCTTTACTAAATTTCCTAATTGACAGATGCAACTGTCTTTTGAGCTGCGTAGGTCGACAGCAAGCTAGACTATTAGTGGTCGGGAGCTCACTCTGACCTGGGCTGGCTTTGAACTCATGACCTCTCTGTCAGTAGTGATTTAATGCAGCTGGCTACTAACGTGGGACTATGACTTCCCTTGATCTTGATTCTATCGTTTTCGTGATGCTTTGAGTTGGATTTGCAGCCATTGCAAGGGGAAAGAAACCGGGACATTTTATCCTCTGCTGGGGAAATGGGACGGCAGAGGATTAGGGTCTTGATTGATCTTGATTCTATCGTTTTTGTGATGCAGCCTGGGATTGCATTGGGTTTTTAACCTCTGCTGGGAAAATAGGACGACAGAGGATTAGTTAGTTGCCCTTGATCACGATTCTATTGTTTTCGTGATGCAGCCTGGCATCACATTGAGATTTTTTGCTCCTCTCCTTTGAGTTGCATTTGCAGCCATTGCAAAGGGAAAGAAACTGGGACATTTTATCCTCTGCTGGGAAAATGGGACGGCAGAGGATTAGCTTATGGGAAACATAACCATCCTATTGGCAAAGAAAACAGGGAACGGCCCCAGGAAGGCGCCAGGCCTGCCATCCTTGGCCGCCAAAGCAAATTTGCACCTTATTTGCGGATTGCCGCCCCAGTTCCTGCAAAGAGGAAGAAGATTAATCCGTCGAGGAAGCGGAGCCGGATTTTCCTGTTTGCTCTGATCCGTATATCAGACAGATAGGGAGAAGAAGCCCTTGAAACGGATCAAAAACCGACATTGGTTCCTTGCTAATATTTGTTTTTTTCCCCGCTCTCTGACTTCTTGACATCCTCAAATAGTCTTGATTTGACGCTTTTGAAAGGAAAATATTGACAAGCCGCAGATCCTCTCGGAGGAAATGGGTGTCACAACCATCAGAGATGATGACAACGCTGCAAAACACCCAAAAGGCATTGCGCAACGTTTTGTGTATTTATTTTATATTTTTTTGCACTGCAGCTCCCAGAAGGTTGCATCTGCACTGTTGAGTTTAATGCAGTTTGGCGGGCTTCGAAGCTCAGGTGTATCTTTCAGTGCCGCTTGCTAGTATTCACCAGTCCGTGATTCAAATCCCGTATTTCTGGTTTTTTTCCAGGGGTCAGCGATGAGCAGCCCCCTCCGCCGGCGTCCTTCGATGGCGTCCTCCAAGAGCAAGTGCGCCCCAAAAAGATCCCGCTGGAGTTTCTCCTCCAGCAAGAAATGGACTTATCAGAAGGTAAGGCTCCAAAGAGATTGAGTTTTACTTTAGAACAGCGGTTCTCAACCTGGGGGTTGCGACCCCCAGAAGGGTCATTTGGCAATTCTCGAGGGGTCGCTGACCTGCCTCCTTAGGCCCCGTCTCCTCGTGCAGGGGATCTCTTCCAACTCTAGGTTTTGATTATTCTTTGACAGACGGAATGGCCGTCTGTCAGGAGGGTTTTGATGGTGTTTACCTGAGTAGGACAATGAGGTTGGACTGGATGTTAGACTGGATGAACTTTGAGGTCTCTTCCAACTCCAGGATTCTATGATGCTATGGCAGGCTGAATGGGCATCTGTCATGATGGTAGGACAGTGAGGTTGGACTGGATGTTGGATGACCCTTGGGATCTCTTCCAACTCCAGGATTTGGATGGCCATCTGTCAGGATGGTTTTGATGGTAGGACAATGAGGTTGGACTGGATGTTGGATGACCCTTGGGATCTCTTCCAACTCCAGGATTCGAATGGCCATCTGTCAGGATGGTTTTGATGGTAGGATAGTAAGGTTGGACTGGATCTAGGATGACCCTTGAGGTCTCTTCCAACTCTAGAATTCGATGATGCTTTGACAGACTGGATGGCCATCTGTCAGGAGGGCTTTGATGGTGTCTTTCTGACAGGCTGAATGGCCATCTGTCAGGAAGGCTTTGATGGTGTCTATATGACAGACTGAATGGCCATCTGTCAGGAGGACTTTGATGGTGTCTATATGACAGACTGAATGGCCATCTGTCAGGAGGGCTTTGATGGTGTCTATATGACTGAATGGCTATCTATCAGGAGGACTTTGATGGGTTTTAATGGTAGGACAATGAGGTTGGACTGGATGTTGGATGACCCTTGGGATCTCTTCCACCTCCAGGATTCGAATGGCCATCTGTCAGGATGGTTTTGATGGTAGGATAGTAAGGTTGGACTGGATCTAGGATGACCCTTGAGGTCTCTTCCAACTCTAGAATTCGATGATGCTTTGACAGACTGGATGGCCATCTGTCAGGAGGGCTTTGATGGTGTCTTTCTGCATAGGACAATGGGGTTGGACTAGATGTTGGATTGGATGGCCCTTGGGGTCTCTTCCAACTTGATGATGACGATAATAATAATAATAATAATAATAATAATAATAATGACGACATTTTGGTCTTGTGTAGGTCTTGACCTCCCCATGCAAGTCCAGAATCGGCCCTCGACTCCACTCAACCCCAGAGGACTCAATCCTCTCCAGAATTCAAAGATCCCCCGATTCAGCTTGGCGGAGTTCCCCCCGGCCCGCCCGGCCCCCTCCAACATCGCCAACATTTGCAGCGAAGGCCGGAAGAAGCTCTCCTACGGGCCCTGGAACCTGCCCCAGACCAGCTTCAGCCACCTCTCCCGGCAAGGAGAGGCCCTCAACGAGCTGGAGGCCGGAGTGAAGACATGCTGCCAACTGGACGAGGGAGAGAAGCTGCCCTGCTGCGTCGATGTGGTAAGTTGGCAACCCTTTCTGCTGTCCACTTCAGCTCAGGAGATCCCAGATTACGTTATGCAACAAAATTTGGAAAAAATACATGCAGAATCACTGGGTTTTTGTGTGTTTTCCGGACTGTCTGGCCAAGTTCCGGAAGCATTTTCTCCTGACGTTTCACCCCCATCTATGTCAGTCCTCCTCAGAGGTTGTGAGGTCAGTTGGAAAAAAAAATCCAGTTTGTGTTTGCTTTCTTCTGAGGCTGAGAGTGTGTGACTTGCCCGTCAGATTTTTAAAATAGTCTTCAGCTATTTTCAGGCAGGAAGCAGCCAGGCTTTGAAGCTGCAAGGCCATTCCATGCTAATTAAGCTTGCCAATTGCAACATTCACATGCGTCTCAAGCAGACAAGAATTTTTTTCTCTCACCCACCTCCCAACAAAAGATTCCCCCAGCAGGAAGCAGCCAGGCTTTGAAGCTGCAAGGCCATTCAATGCTACTCAAGATGGCCAGTTGCAACATTCACATGTGTCTCAAGCAAAGAAGAGGTTTTTCTCCAACTAACCCCTCCCAACAAAGGATTCCCCCAGGCAGGAAGCAGCCAGGCTTTGAAGCTGCAAGGCCATTCAACGCTAATCAACGTGGCCAATGGCAACATTCACATTTGCCTCAAGCGGACAAGAGTTCTTTCTCCCACCCTGGACATCAACCTCACTTTCCAACAGACTTCACAACCTCTGAGGATGCCCGCCATAAATGTGGGCGAAACGTCAGGAGAGAATGCTTCTGGAACATGGCCAGACAGCCCAGAAAACTCACAACAACCCAGTGTAGTATGCATTTCCCTACTTTCCTGTTGTAGTCACTGTGAATCGTACATTTGGTATCTCTGTGCCAGGACTCACCCTCTATTCTGCTTTTCATCTACCTTCTCCCTAATTCCTTCACATTTCATAATTCCTTTGTTTGGTCTGGAACGATAGTGGAAATACCACGCTGCATGAGATCACCTTTGTAATGTCATTCCTATGACGTTACAATGATGTCCGTCACGGTGCGCTCCAATGTTTGTGTGTCTGAAGGACACGAAACCCTTCCTCTTCCATGTCAAATGACGCATTTATGTCCCCGTATTGCCACTCTTGGCATATTCAAGTCCAACCCTCTGCCGTGCAGGAAGGCACAATCCAAGCCCTCCTGACAGATGGCCATGCAGTCTCTGCTTAAAAACCTCCAGAGGAGGATACACCAGACTCCAAGGCAGTCTATTCCACCTCCAAAGAAGGAGACTCCAATATATTCTGAATCTTAAGAGTTGGAAGAGGCCACAAAGGCCATCCAGTCCAACCCCATTCTGCTATGCAGGGAGACACAACCAAAGCCCTCCCGACAGATGGCCCTCTAGCCTCTGGTTAAAAACCTCCAGAGGAGGAGACTCCACCATCAGGAAGTTCTTCTCAATGTTTAAGTGCTGCAATTTGAATCCGTTGACCCTCGGTTCCTCCTGCCACTGACCCTCCTCCATCTCTCCAATCCTGCCCCAGTGGTCTGAAGCCTTGGAGTACTTCTGCTTGTCCGAATTCGCCGTGAAGACCACCCCCTACCACTGCTGCAAGCTGGAGGGTCGCAGTCGGGAAAGCTGCTTCGTCCAAGGGACTCCCTTCCCGCAATACAACTTCTAGGGACAAACCTCCTCCTCTTGCCCCAGATGCATGAGGCAGAAGACCCCGGATCTCTCCTTTCCTCCTGACGAACCCACTCTCAGAGACTGCAAGCGCTCACGGACTTATCTCTTCTGGAAACAACCTTTACTTCAGCATTGTGTACTGCTTATCGTGGGCTGAACATGTACTGTGTACTCATTATCGTGGTCTGAACGTTATTTGTACCACAAATAAATATATCTTACCATTGATCAAATACATCCTAGCCTATCTAGCCTAGGCCACAATAGTCACCTAACTAGATTTGCGAGAGGTGTATTATAGGATCAGAATTAAAAGGGGGGATGAGTGGGAAACACTAACAGCATTCAATTGCCCATTGGGCTCTTTCCAGTATGTAGTGATGCCCTTTGTATTAAAGGACGCACCTCATATTTTCATGCACTTCATCAACTAATTACTCCATCCACAGTTGTACAAGGGAATTCTAGTCTACCTTGTTGATATCCTTATGTCGGGAAATTCTTAGATGAACATGTCACATTAGTAAGACAGGTGATGGGAAAACGGTGGGAAGCGCAGCTGTGTGCCAAATTGTCAAAAGGCAGATTTCATAAGAATGGGATCATCTTGGGTTCCACATATCTCCCATTAAAGTGTAGGATGTACAACTTCAGGGATTCCTAGGATTGTGCTGCCACTAACTGATCTATTGAAAACTAAGGGGAGGGGAGAGACCTGGAAAGTAAAAACTCCCAGGGCAGAGTTAAATTGGACACCAAAAATTATTTATTATTTATTTATTTACCGCATTTATATCCTGCCTTTCTCAGCCCGAAGGCGACTCAAGGAGGCTTACAAGTTGGTAGCAATTCGATGCCACAACAAACATAAAATACAGTTTAAAAACATTAGCACGTAGTATTAAAACCATACAAAAATATACAATCAGAATGCCAACAAGCGTTTGAACAACTTGAAACCCTGCTTACAACCCAGCCTATCCTTGGAGAAAGAATCATTTGCAGTAAAAGCCACGCTACTGAGGTGTCGAGCCCCCCGGTAGCACAATGGCTGAAACCATTTTGCTGGCAAGACTGAAGACGGACAGGTCAGCGGTTTGAATCAGGAGAGAGTGGGTTGAGCTCCCTCTGTCAGCCCCAGCTCCCCATGCAGGGGCATGAGAGAAGCCTCCCACAATATTTATTTATTTATTTATTTAACATGTCTGGAGCAAACCAAACAGTTGTAATGCATTTTTAACAAACAAACATACATACATACAAAACACAAAGTTTGCAAGCTTGGTAGTTGATTAAATGTCCTTTGACCAGTATCTGGCCACTTGGAGTGCCTCTGGTGTTGCCGCAAGGAGGTCCTCCATTGTGCATGTGGCAGGGCTCAGGTTGCATTGCAGCAGGTGGTCAGTGGTTTGCTCTTCTCCACACTCGCATGTCGTGGATTCCACTTTGTAGCCCCATTTCTTAAGGTTGGCTCTGCATCTCGTAGTGCCAGAGCGCAGTCTGTTCAGCGCCTTCCAAGTCACCCAGTCCTGTGTGCCCAGGGGAGTCTCTCATTTGGTATCAGCCATTGATTGAGGTTCTGGGTTTGAGCCTGCCACTTTTGGACTCTCGCTTGCTGGGGTGTTCCAGCGAGTGTCTTTGTAGATCTTAGAAAACTATTTCTTGATTTAAGTCGTTGACGTGCTGGCTGATACCCAAACAAGGGATGAGCTGGAGATGTCACTGCCTTGGTCCTTTCACTATTGGCTGCTACTTCCCGGCGGATGTCAGGTGGTGCAATACCGGCTAAACAGTGTAATTTCTCCAGTGGTGTAGGGTGCAGACACCCCGTGATAATGCAGCATGTCTCATTAAGAGCCACATCCACTGTTTTAGTGTGGTGAGATGTGTTCCACACTGGGCGTGCATACTCAGCAGCAGAGTAGCATAGCGCAAGGGCAGATGTCTTCACTGTGTCTGGTTGTGATCCCCAGGTTGTGCCAGTCAGCTTTCGTATGATAATTGTTTCTAGCGCAGACTTTTTGCTTGATATTCAGGCAGTGCTTTTTGTAATAATAATAATAATAAAATAATAATAATATCAACTTTATTTATACCCCGCCACCATCTCCGCAGCAGTTAAACACCAAGCAGCTACGCTGGGCCCACTTCTTTAGCCATTTCAACTTCACGCTGCTGCATAAACAGAATTTCTTGTCAGATGCTGTATCCAGAATGTCATAGGCAGATAAAAATCCCCCAGAAGTAGTGGGCACAGTGTTTGGCCCACAGCACTCGGGCTTGGTAGCTGCGGGCTATGTAGTGTCTTAAGAAGGAGAACAGGGGAAATAAGATAGGGATGGCCAAGGAATTGCAGGACGAGGCTAACAAAGGCCTGGTTGAAAGAGGATAAGGATGCTTTGACAGAAAGTGATAGACTGTGGTTATATGGGGATACGACCCTAGTGCACTGAGGTTCCCAACCGAGAATATCTGCGAGCTACGAATATTATGGAGATCCATCTCTGCCGCCGTCACTTTGCGGGATTCCACCTTGTTTGTGCACTGGACGCGGCTTGGAGATCTCATTCAAGAAGTGCTGTTGGATGCCCTCAAAGGGGTGAGTTTGAGCCAACCATGGACTTCTGGAAAGGCACGGATTCGTGCACTCAATGTACACACATCGGGTGGGTCGTACAATCATAGAATCGCATCCAAACGCACCCAGTCTCTGAATCATAGGATCCTCAAGTTGGAAGAGGCCCCCAAGGGCCATCCATTCCAACCCCCTCCTGCCAGGCACCATCCGAGCCCTCCCAACAGATGACCTTCCAGCCTCTGCTTAAAAACCTCCAGAGTAGGAATGTCAGGAGTCAATTTCTGACGGCATGAAGACATCACAAATTCCCTCCGTGACATCCTGACTGAATCATCCTGGCTGCCTCAATTCTCTCTCTGTGACATTTTGAAGCCAGCAGAAGGTGCTGGAAACCTTGTCTTGGAACTTGTGAAGCAACAAACTCTAATAAGGAAACTGAGAAGAGGGGGAGATGGGCAGGAAAGGTGTATAAAAGGAAGTAGTGGTGGGAAAAAGTCAGTAGTGTCTTTCTTTGCTGCAGAGATACAAGCAATATATCCATTTCAAAGCAAAACCGGCTTGTGAGTGGTTATTTAATATTGCTATATAGATCCTACCACTCCCAAAATCCCATAGCCTTGAGCTGTGGGAGGTTATTAGCGTAGCACCGTATTATTATTATATATTACTATATGGTACCATACCACTATACTGCAATATTATTAGTAATATTACATGCAATATAAAATATATCATTATTATATTGTATTATTGTTAGTATCACATTGTATTACATTATAATATTATATGTAATGTCATCAATTTATACATGAGTAGATATAGTAGTTACTAGCTGTACCCGCCACGCGTTGCTGTGGCCAACCTTTCCCCTATCTCCCCTTCTTTCCCTCCTTCCTTCACTCCCTGTTTCCTTCCTTCCTTCCCGTCTTTCCTTCTCTCCTTCCTTCCTTCTCTATCGCTTTCCTTCCTTCCCCTTTTTCTTTCTCTTCTGCTGTCTCTCTTTTCTTCCTTCTCTCTTTCCTTCTTTCTTTCCCTCCCTCTTTCTCTACATTTTATCCCCTTCCTTCGCTCCCTCTTTCCTTCCTTCTTCCTTTTTCTCTTCTGCAGTCTCTCTTTTCTTCCTTCTCTCTTTCCATCTTTCCTTCCCTCCCTCTTTCTCTACATCTTCCCCCCTTCCTTCGCTCCTTCTTTCCTTCTCTCCTTCTCTCTCCTTCCTTCTTTCTCTAACTTTCCTTCCTCCCCCTTTTTCTTTCCCTCCCTCTTTCTCTCCTTTCTTCCTTTTCTACCTCATTCCTTCCTTCTTTCTTTCCCTCTTTCTCTCCTGTCAGGGGTGATTTGAATGCAATATTCCTGCTTCTTTTCTACCTCACTCCTTCCTTCCTTCTTTCTTTCCCTCCCTCTTTCTCTCCTGTCAGGGGTGATTTGAATGCAATATTCCTGCTTCTTGGCAGAATGGGGTTGGACTGGATGGCCCAGGAGGTCTCTTCCAACTCTTTGATTCTATGATTCTATGATTTCTGCCAGAAAAAAAGGGGCGTGGCTAAGCGAAGGAAGGGGGGAAGATGGAGAGAAAGAGGGAGGGAAGGAAAGATGGAAAGAGAGAAGGAAGAAAAGAGAGACTGCAGAAGAGAAAAGGAAGAAGGAAGGAAAGAGGGAGCGCAGGCTAGGGGAGTGAGGGGGGCGCGCGTGCGTGTGTGTGCCGCGCCGGGGGGGAGAGGGGGCACGCGCGGCTGTGTGTGTGTGCCGCGCCGGGGGGGGTGAGGGGGCGCGCGCGCGCGTGTGTGTGCATGTGTGTGTGTGCCGCGCCGGAGGGGGGAGAGGGGGCGCGTGCGCGCGCGTGTGTGCCGCGCCGGGGGGGTTGGGGGTGCGCGCGCGTGTGTGCCGCGCCGGGTGGGAGAGGGGGCACGCGTGTGTGTGTGTGTGCCGCGCGGGGGGGGGAGGGGCCGTGCGCACGCGCGTGTGTGTGCCGCGCCGGGGGGGGAGGGTGAGGGGCCATGTGTGTCCGCGCCAGGGAGTTTGCGCCAGTGCGCATGCTCAGTTGCTTTGTCGTTTATTGTGGTTGTTGTTGTGTGTTTTTGATTTCTGAGTGGATTAGTTTGTACCTTGTTGGTTGCCCTTGGGGCATGGGAAGTTTGGTGGAGTTTCGTTGGGGGGTTTTTGAGTTTTGTTTCCTCATACGACGCTAGGAGGAAATTTATATATATAGATACCTATATTAATGGCAGCCAGATAGTGCTGAGAAAACAGCCACTGATTGTCTTCAACTGGCACCACCGCTATGCTGTGATATTAGTAGTAATATTACATGTAATATATAATATATAATTATTATACTGTATTATTATTACATTGTATTACATTATTATAATATTATTATCAATATTATATGTATATACAAAATATTATATTATTAGCACAGCACAATATTAGTATTATGTATTTATTGTTGCTGATGGGAGGGGCTCCCAACGGATGGCCCAGGAGACAAGGCAATGTTTATTAATATTATTATTATTAGTAGTAGTAGGACTACCTTTACCTAATATTAATGTTATTAATAGTACCAATAACAATATTATTCTTTGTAATAGCAGCAGTAGTATTATTAATATTATAATTAATGTTATTAATATTAATGTTATTAATAGTACTAATAACAATATTATTCTTTGTAGTAGCAATAGTATTATTATAATTAATATTATTGATATTAATGTTATTAATAGTACTAATCACAATATTATTCTTGGTAGTAGCAGTAGTAGTATTAATATAATTAATATTATCATTAATATTATAATTAATAGTACTAATAACAATATTCTTTGTAGTAGCAGTAGTAATATTAATATTATTAATATTAATG